CCCCCCGCAGGGACAGACGGAGCAGCAGAAGGCTCTGGTACTACGGGTGCTGCGCGTCCGCTCCGGTTTCGTTGAAAGATTTCCTAGCCCGGCTTTAGTTGTATATCCAATTAAAGTCGTTTTTAGATGCATATCGTACTGAAGATCTGCTTTCATAGTGCAATCTAGAAAGTATATATTTGCATCGTGTATTGAAGATTTTTTTTTCCCCTTTACTTGCCCCCTCCAGCCCTCCACCTGCCACGCTTGCTTTATTGGCAGTGCAATATGAACATCTGCACTTCATTCAATAGGGTTTGGAGTTCACCCTTGCATGACTAAATCATTTTATGATCTATGATGCTTTTTAAATGCCTCTCAACTTTACTCGATTCCACTGCAGTGCACTATTAATTGTGCTGCAAATGCCAACCCTCGACTGGGTCCATCACAGTGCTCATGTTGGATTTTCACTGGCACTTGTCTAAGGCGAAATCTGACTTCTCTCTTTTTCTCTCTCTCCCTTTGCATTTATTTATTTATTTATTTATTTATTTATTTATTTATTTTTACTTTCCAGGTATTAGTTAATATTGGCAACCATTTTGATCTTGCCTCCAGTATATTTGTAGCACCAAGAAAAGGGATATATAGTTTCAGTTTCCACGTGGTCAAGGTCTATAACAGACAAACCATCCAGGTGGGTTGCAAGCTAAAGAAGATGCTTTCTTTCCATTTGTAAATACTCATCTCTAAATAATGGGGGCATTTACAACCCCAGCAACTGTAGAATGAGGCTGGGGGTTGTTTTAATTGAAGGGGTCTTTATGCATGCCTTAATTTAATTCACACTTGCCTTATTTTAACTAAATCCTGTTTTTAACCTGTGCAAATCTTTATGAGGTGCACAGGGCAAACAAGTCACTGAGAGCATTGAGAAAACTCAGATTCTCTCTCTTTGCATTTTTTAGGTAAGTTTAATGCAAAACGGCTATCCAGTGATTTCAGCTTTTGCGGGGGATCAGGATGTCACCAGAGAAGCAGCCAGCAACGGGGTCTTGCTCCACATGGAAAGAGAAGACAAAGTGCATCTCAAACTGGAAAGGGGTAACCTCATGGGAGGGTGGAAATACTCAACCTTTTCTGGCTTCTTAGTCTTTCCACTATAAAAGAAGGCTGGATAGGAGACAAATCCGTGAGCTGGAGCAAGGATTCAGTCATTAATGACACCCTGAACTTGGCAGCATATGACAATATTTCCAGTCGCCCTGTCAGACTGTCACAGTAGAAGAATGATAACCTTCTAAACTCCAACATTTGCTTTGACTATTGACAATTCCTTGGGAAACCTGCGCCTCTAATTAGATTTAGACGACAGTGATCTTTAGGAGAAATGAAATTATCGACCTGAGCAATTTGTACCCGTGATTGTAAAGTCAATTTCGGATTTATTGTTGGGATCATTGACTTCCTTCTTCTTTTTTATTTTTTCCTCTCTCTTTCATTTTTTCCCTCTTTTCTTTCTCTTCTTGTTGTCCCGATGAGACAAGTAACTTGGACCACACAATCTCCTTATCAAAGGCTCAGTTTTGAGCCCGAAGAATGAAGTGTTCAGCCCAATGAGGTGTTCTTTCCATGCTTTCTTTCTTTGTGTTGTATAGCCTTAAAGAAAAAAAAGAAAAAAAAAAAAGAATGGCTTCAGTCTCAGTCCTGTATTTTTCTGGGGGAGGGGGATTCTGAACATTACTGTGTCAAGAAGTGCTTTATCCAGTGAAGCAAAATTTGCACGATTGGAACCTTATTTGTTTTGTGTTGTTCGTGTTTTTCATTGCATTTTTCTCCTTTTTTCTTTCTCTGATTTTTGTTTGTGTGTGCTAAAAATGTAAGCTATGTTGATCAATAAGACAAAACAGAGCACATATATAGCCTGTAGCTCTAAGTAAAGCTAACCAGTGAACAATTCTGTCTGCACTTTCCAACTGATCTTTATAGACCTATTTAGAGAAAGAGAGAGAAAGAGTGAGAGAGCTACATGATCCTTCAATTACAATCTGGAAACCAGTAAAGGAACTGACATTTCCGAATCGTCCTGACATTTCTAGAAGCAACAGTGGAAGCTTCAATATCTTATCTGACCATACCCTAAAATATATCCTTTCTTTGCATTATCAAGTGTATTTTGGGTGCTCTTATCTGATATTTATTTGGTATATTTGTTCACTAATGCTTGAGTACACGTTTTGGGAGCACGGAGAGATGGCAGAGCAACTCTTTCTCTTCAAAATGAAATAAAGCAACCTCCGCTCAGCCTGTTCATGGCAGGTATCTGAAGAGTTGCTGCTAGCATCTTGGACAGCACTGAGGAGAGGGGCCTCAGAGAACTGGTAAATGAACCAGAAGTTGCATGGGTGCCGTGTGTGCTCCTCTCAGTAGAGATGGCTTTGGCGTTCAGGGGATGGACCCCATAGGAGCACTGGAGGAAAGGAGAAGTTATGGGTCCCAAATCAACAAGAGGTAAAATATCAGGCCAACATCCAGTGCATCGTTTTGCCTCATTCATGATAAACAGATCTTTTCCCCGACATATGAATACTGGTGTAATAGGGTGCTGAGGAAGTCCTTGCTTGAGGAGATCCAGGAGGAACTTTTATATGATTTGATTTTATTTTGTCTTAATTTACAGTATTTAATTTGAAATATCTTGCTACTAAGCCCACAAGAGTGGATGTGTATAAGAATTTATTTTTGTCAGATTTATTCCTCTGCCACAAACAAGTATAATGCAAAGGCATTTGCAGCAAATGAGTGGTAGCTATGTTGTATTTCAAAATTATGGTGGACATGTCATTTTCATTGTAAATTTATCATTAAAGGGACAAAGTCAATTAAAGTCATATATTCTTTAAAAAATCTTATCTGTGTTGCTTCTGATACCTCTGATTATTAAACCAATTTGATTTTTGATAATTCAGTGCATTTTCATCACTGGTGCTGTTTGTTTGCTTTTGAGTTTCTTGGTCTGGTTACTGAGCTAGTGAGGTTCAGGTTTTGTTTTTTACTGGGTTGCATTTTCTGGTTCTTCCTTGTGCACTGGCATGACACTGTAATGGTTCTAGTTGCAAATTATCACAGGGCTATGTTTAAATTCAACAAATAAAACCCAAGTCATCAACAGTCTTTTTTTTTCTATTCAAATAAAAAAAAATGAAAGCAGTTTGATGGCAGATACTGTAAAACTTTTTAAATCAGAATTTTCATGTTTAAAGCTTGATCATCCGATGTCTATAAAGAAAATAGATGCTGAGCTGGGTTCAGGGTCATAAGTTTTCAGCTTCTATGGCATTCTATTCTATCATAATCACTTCCAGTTGTCCCATTGACCTCAGTTTCTCTGGTATGAATAAGGCAATGATGTCTTAACGCTGGTTCTCCCATAAGCCAAATAAAGCTAGCGACAAGATTTCCTGTAGAGAGTTATTCTTGGGGGTTTCTTATGCCATGGAGGCTGTAGAATCTGAATATCCCACTTCCAGTGCGGCAATTTTGACTTAGCTTGTTTTATAAAGCTAAACGTGAATTTACGATTGCTGTAGCCTTCTTCTGAATTGAAAGATGTTGTCTAATCTGCTGCCTCTCTCCCTCTTCTAGTTGTGTGTCCTCCATGCTAATCCATGGAGTAAGACTGTTTATATAGACTGTTAAATTAAATGGAAACTGGGCAGTAAATTCTTACTGCATACCAATTACTTCCATGGCTGATTTTTTGGGGTGGAGAAAATGGTTCCTGTGTCAATATTTATTCCCCTCTCCTTGTACTTGCTTTTGTATCTCAATTTGAGAAGGTGCAAACTACTGGTCATTTAAAAGAGTAGACATTTTGGTATATATATTTGAGGCGTGAGGATATCCTAAGCTAATATATGTGTCAAAGAGGGAAAATATATGTCAGCAGCATCGAAGTATGCAAGGAGAAATATGTAAGGTTCCTTAAAAGAGTCTCCCAGCACGTAAATAATAGGTTTATCTAACAAGTAATTTATGAAAATAAATCATTTGTATAACATTGAGAGTCGGTGTAAATCTTATGTTGAGGGGCGCCATGGGAGTCACTAAGTGTAAAACACATATTGCAGTGAAGCAGGCCAGTGGTTCAAAACCAACTCTGATTCCTATGGTAGCAATAAGCCAGTATTCCTAGCAGCAACTTCCAGAGTTTCTCATAAATTTCTATGTAGCACTGTCATAAAATATGCCTCTGAAAACACTGAATATTTGACTTCCTGGGACCAGCTGTGAGCCGCTCGCCTGAGTATTTCTGGGAGCCACTGTCTCGGTGCTTCTTCAGAGCACATTTTGTATGTCAGAAATCAGGAGCTATATTAGGAACGATAAACACTTATCGTACACTTTATCCTTTAGGTCTCTGGATTTGATATCTGTAGTTTGAAGTCAATCTTGCAAAAACCCCAGGGCCCTCAACTAACTCCCTCAGAGACAGCGGGTGTGATGGGTATATAGGGTTTCTTGTTAGCGGGCAGCATCACGCAAGCTGCATCTGTTCATGCTGGGTGGGAGGAGGAGCGTGACAGAGACAGCAAAACCAGGATGTTTAGAAGTTGTGTTGTGTTTGCTAGCTTGACTTTTTTTAGCTCTTAAAAAGAACATTTTTTTTTTTATTGAAGGATTTCTGTCTTTGACTGACTGTCAAAGTAAACAATGGGCCAATGGGGTTTTGTTTACTGTTGGAATTATTCAGAAATACCTGAAGGTGGTTTCATGTTGTTTAACCTGACACTCATTTCTGGAATAGAAAGGATCGCAGGTGAAGTTGTTTAAAAATAGCAGTCATAATTAATAGCCTACCTTAATCCAGGCTCACTTTCCAATGTTAACAAACTCCCCACAATCAGTATCGGTAATATACTTCATGATTTTCACAGGTAAAGACTGGTAAACAATCATGCGTAACTAAGTTAAAAAGTGCATTCACATTTTTATTTACTTTTGAAAGGCCAGTGACAGTCTGCAGTAATGCACTGACTGTAGCTTTTGAACCACACAGAGTGTTGTGCAACAAGTGCTCCAGAGCCAGGTCTGATGAGATGAGTCACACTCATTTTTAATCAGAGTGGCAAATGATAATGACATCATAAAAACACCTCTTTTCTTAATGGAGCAGATCCTTTTACTTGGCTTATCTTCATCTGTCAGAATGGATAAAACATAATTTTATGATTACTGATTTCCTGTTAACCAGATCATATTAACTAATTATAAGCTCATGAGAATTAACGATATCCATCATGGCAGCATTAGCCACACAGTAGATTTACTTTAAAACTCAGTGATAACAATCAGTGCAGACTCTTAGCTAACCTGAAATACATTCTTCAGTCTAAATATATTTTAATATTAAACTTAACCCTGATAATGTTATGAAAGTCTTACAAATATCTTGTTATATCATGTTATAAATTCATTTTCAAAACAGCAATTGTTCTGGTTTTGTACAATGTAATCATACAGCTGTTTTCTTTCCTTATTAGTTGTTATTAGTAATATCCTAGGACTAGCAGTTTTATTTTATACCATGCTTGCCTGGATGTTATCATTAAAATACACCTCCCATCCCACATAAACGTAGCATATTGTATTTCTTTCGAGGCAAAATGAAGATGGCTAACTTGTTGGATACCTGAAGATCTCTGCAGATCTTTACCACAAATAATGTTAAAAATGCACTAGCAAGATACTGCAAAGTAAATAATTGGTTCTATTATGAATTCCCCATTAAACACCCCCCACACACACACGCAAAAAAACCCCAGAAATTAAGGTGGTATGGAGAAATGCTCCAAAACTCAGAAAAGTTGAATTTTTAAAACTTAATGTTGCCTTCTGAGATTGCTTCAATTGTAATACTGCACAAATACTTTTACTATGGGAATCTAAAAAAAAAAAAATCTAAATTAGTTCGTGAGGCTGACTGGATTGTATGACTCCTGCTCAGTGTATTGACATAATGACTCAGCAGAAACATAAGTATCTCATCAATTAGTAATTAATAGTAGCTATATAGCATTCTCATTGAACCTGGCATACTCCAATTAACTGGCTTTTCTGGCTTTTCTGAAATGTTTTTCCTGTCTGTTCATGTGTATATACATGTATGTGTGCATATGTGTATCTATATGTACATACACATGCACATAAAAACACATTTTTTAGCTAGACAGAGAGCCATCTTGTTCTCATGCAGTTTAGACTTCTTTTCTCCAAAGCATTTCCTATCCAAAAGTATACACACTGATAGCAAATGACAACATACATGTAACTGTTGGAAGCTGCCACAGTTTAGGTAATATTTAAAATGAAGAACAATTATTAATTGAAAGCTTTCATTGTCTCAAGTTCTGTTATAAACATTTATAACAAGTGACCCTATAGTGCTGTGTAACGCATTGCGAGAATGTCGTCAAAACACCAGACAGGGATATACCATAGACTGGAGGTATACTGGTTGAGTACCTGTGGTGCATATTATAATAGGGAAAATATGTTCTTTATACCTACTGTTTTGAACAGTAATATTAATATGCTGAGTTAATTTGGCGATGTGTGAGCATAGTGATGCATTATATTGTCACAGTGTCAGAAGTAAGAATATGGAATTCTTCTGGGACTTCAGGGGAGAAAGGAGAGAGATCCTAGCACACAACTCATGATTGCTGCTATAGACTTACGTGTCAGAGAAGATACACACAAAACGGTTTTGGAAATATTTTTTCCTGATATACTAAATTATTTATCATCATTAACAGTAGAATTTTCTCAGCCCATCTCATAACCATATGACTAGGAGCTACTTAGGATGAAGTCTAAATGTCCTTAACTAGACTGTTTAGCAGCTGGTTTCTCCTCTATCCTCACTCTTCCAGAAACAACTCTGTTCTCATTAGACATCATAATCTCTCTGCAAAAATAACTGACCTATAATTCTGACTGTATAGTAAAGCTGATCTTCCCTA